AAAAATTTATATATATATATATATATATATATATACACGCGTGTATGCGTGTGTTTCGGTGATAATTAAGAATGATTTTCTTTTTCGTAGTTACGGATAAAGAATGATTTTGAATTTATATCAAATCAAGTCAATCTTAGTAGTTTTTTTTAAATAAAAAATAAAACACTTACCATCAACCATTAGAGAATATAAAATGCTATCAATAATTTGTTAGAACAGCCAAACTTTGCTCTCATTGCAGCAAAAGCAGTGGTATTGGAGGCATGTGAAGAAACCACCGCCAACTGTGCGGTTGCACCCGAGTATCCAACTAGTTTAACTACAAAACCATGCTTTATCCAACATTATATCATTTGCTGAAAGGTTTGTGTGTGACTAGCTTGTGCAAGTAGAATGGGAATATATAAAAGTTCACCCCATATTGGGTAGGAGAAAGAGAAAAATAGGAAGAAAAATGAGAAAGTATACTATGTTTGAAATGAAAGGGGAAAAAAATAGTGAAAAAAATACAATCACAATGAATTAGGTTGGGAATAAAGAGGAAAGAATGGATCACGTGCAAAGACAGAAATTTAACAAAAAAAAATTCTTTTACTTTCTCTTAAAATCAAAACTCATTTTTTTTCCTTCATTTCAAACAAACCAGTAAAAGAGAAATGGTTAGATGTAATAACCAGTGTGAGAAAAATTAAAAATATATTATTTTTTTTTTGCTACAACAACTATAGGAATTAAGCAGCCAGCAGGAGTACTTGAAGCTGAAGGCACCTACAACGATCCCAGAGGTACGAATGTCCTATTGGGCCTTCAAATGTGGCTGATTACTGATTTAAGTCAATGCTGTATTTAAGTTTTACCCTCTCATCTCAGGAACCTCATGGGAGAAGATCTTGGCCCTCTAAACAGTAAAGAGCTCGAGTCTCTTGAAAGACAGCTTGATTCGTCCTTGAAGCAAATCAGATCAACAAGGGTACTCAACTTTCCATCTTTTGCCATTTACCATATCAAATCAAATTATAGATATAATAAGTGCATAATAAGTACCCAATCTAGAAAAAAATTCCCATAATCAAGTCCATTTTGAAAGCGTTATTTTATTCAATTCGTGCTCTGACTCTCTGAGTAACATATATCCAAGAGTAGTAGGAGTGAACAGACATTCAATACAAATATTAACTTGGGGGCAAGAATCAAGATTACTCATCACTCCTTCCATTTTTTTTAATAGTCGTTTTGTCAGAATTTATTTTTTTTTTCATTGTCATTTTACTAAAATTAATGATTTATTAATTTTTTTCTCCATTTTTACTCTTGATAATTAATACATGTTTATTGAACAATGTGTATATTTATTTTTAATGTTTACCTATTTTTTCTCCAACTACCCATATAAAGTTAATGTACATTTATAAGAACAATATGTTCCCAACAAAATACTATAAAAAAAATAATATAACCATTAATTCATGGACAAGTATAATTAAATACAGTAGGTTACAATTCACGTGTAATCAATGCATTAATAATTAATGGAGAAGATTGCAGTTCAACAGTCTCAAAAATATAAAAAAAAAATAAAGGGTAAAATAGGAAAGTAAGTAATAAATATTTTTGAAAACTAAAATATCAATGATTTTCTTAAGTCCCGTGCAAAACCTTAAACGACTATGAAAAAAAACGGAGGGAGTATTAAAGTTGAAAGGGTAAGTAAGTTATCTCTTAATCTATATATAAGAAAAATAATTAGTTTCACATGTATTATGAAAGATAGATAAATATATTTAAATTTTATGATTTTATATAAAATTTATACTAATACTCACTTTATTTTTTATTATAAAAAATTTGATTTTATACATATTAAAAAAATAATTATCTATTTTAAATTTTATTAATTTTATAATAATCTTTCTAAATTATTTGTGTTATAAATATAAAAAAAATAGTACAACTAAAATATCACACATTAAATGAAAAATATTTTAAAAGATATCATTAAATGAGAAAAATAATTAAAATTTATTTATATTTAAAAATAAAAAAATGTGTAATTTCTTCTGTTTTTTTATAATAGAGAATAGAAGAAATATATTTACTAAAATATTTTTAATCACATTTATTATAAATAATATTTATTTGTTATTTTAAGAGTATTTTTTGGATTAAGAGTACTAAATAAATGAAATTTATTTATATTTGAGTAAAAAAAATTAAGTACTTTTTTTTTTCTTATATATAGATTAAGAGGGAGTACTACAGAACTCCTCTTCCTTTTATATTTGGATATTTATTCTTTAGAAATTTTAAGAGAAGATAATTGTTAAAATATGTAGTATGAATTTAAGGATAAAAAATGTCTAATAAAAAAGTAAAAAAAAAAAAAGGTAATTATCAAAATAAAAATAAGGCACTGCAGCTGAAGCTAGAAAGAAAAAAATAAAGAAAAAAAGAAAATAAAAAAGCAGATCTAATCTTAGTGAGTAGTGAGGAAAGAAAATAATTTTATTTAATTTTATAAAATTAATAAACAGATAAGAGAATTTTATTATTTAGAGTATAAATAAAAAATAATTAATTTTATTTAAACAATTTAAAATAAAAATATTTTAGAACAAATTTTTCACCAATTAAAACTACAATAACTCTACTTTCCCATCTTAACTTTAGTAGTTACTTTATACAATTATTTTAAGACGAAGGAAGTATTCTTCCACATTTCATCTAAAAAAGTTTCTTTCCATTTCAAATTAATTGCAGTGTTAAAACCTTAAAAAAAATTCTTGAAATAATTTATGTTCTCACTTTTAAGTTTCCATTCCAAAAACCAGGCAAGGAAAACACGGCACCGCAGCTGAAGCTAGCAAAAAAAAAAAAAAAAAAAAAAAAAAAAAAAAAAAATCAGATCTAGTCGTACCTCCACGGCCCCACCCCACCCCTTATTTATAGACACACCCCCTCCTTCAACTATCCACACACTCTCTCTCTCTCTTATTCTTTCTCATACTCGCTCGGCGCCTGAAACCATGGCTCTGTTGGTAGAGGTCAAGGACATCTCCCAGGCCGACTTCGGGCGCCTGGAGCTGGATCTGGCCGAGGTCGAGATGCCGGGCCTCATGGCCTGCAGGGCCGAGTTCGGCCCATCGCAGCCCTTCAAGGGGGCCCGCATCACCCGCTCCCTCCACATGACCATCCAGACCGCTGTCTTCGCCTGGAAGGGCGAGAGACTCCAGGAGTACTGGTGGTGCACCGAGCGCGCCCTCGACTGGTGCCCCGGCGGCGACGCCACGCTCCTCATCCACGAGGGCGTCAAGGCCGAGGAGCTCTACGAGAAAACCGGGCAGTTGCCTGACCCTGCTTCCACCGACAACGCTGAGTTCCAGATCGTCCTCACCATCATCAGGGACGGCTACCGCAAGATGAAGAACCGTCTCGTTGGGGTTTCCGAGGAAACCACCACCGGCGTTAAGAGGCTCTACCAGATGCAGGCCAATGGCACTCTTCTCTTCCCTGCTATTAATGTTAACGACTCTGTCACCAAGAGCAAGGTTTTTCCTTTTCTCCTTAAATCATGCCTCCGCTTCAGATCTCTCTTCTTTTTGAATCTGCTAACTGTTTGACCTATGTCCTCAAAGAATGTTCGACTGCTATTGGATGTTATTTAGTACCTGCCTGGATGCATGTCTAAACGTGATTGTAGCTGAATGTTGGCATTGAGTCCAACGTTGGTTTTTTCAGTTGATGTTTTGAAAAAAATATATATACTGAATTTTACTACGAGCTTGCCTTTAGAATGGAAACAGTCACTCAAAACTAGGTTTTGTGATGAGTTGTTATTGATTTGCTTGTTGAGAGTAAGAAATGGGTCACTGTTGTGAGGCTTTTTAGTCTAAAATTTATTCAAGTTTTATTGATAGGCCCATAATTGCTGGAGTATATTTAAAATGTTTAATAATAAGGGAAAATTACACCCACTTCCTCTCTAAAGTCTATTTAAATGATCCACACAATCCCTCTAATTTTTAAAAATTATGCACTTCTCTTATAATAATGATATTAGTTCAAGTGAGAGAAATAGAAAAAACAACAATTAATTCATATTTTGTAAATTATATATGTTTCTATCTTTTGTTTCTGAATTAATTATAATCTCCCATCTTTTTTATGAAATTTTTTTATTGTTCTTTAATTTTTAAAATAATTTTTCAACGATTTTTGAAATGATTCCTTGAAGTTGGTACTCCTTTTCATAGTTTTAAAAATTGGACCGGTCATCGAACCGGTTAAGGTACTGAGTTAGTGGGTCAAAGATTGAATTGGTGGGTCACTAGTTGAATCGCATGACTCGGTTTTTATTTATTTTATTGAAAAATAATCATATTAAATATATTTATACTTATAAATTTTAATAAATTCATATCTTATTTTAAATTTTAATTTTTTTATCTTATTTAAAATTATTTTTATTTTGTAAAAAATACATAAAAAATTACATGTTAAACGGTATATTAATACAAATTAAAAATATAAATAATACGTACATATATAATATGCTTACAATTAATATCACAAAATAATATATGTAATATTTACATAAATATTATATTATTAAATATATAATTTAAAATTAATAATATACTATAAAAGTTATTTAAGTTATATATATTACAAACAAATATATTAGAACAAGTAATTATTGTTATATTTAATAAGACTCCTTGTTTTTCCATTAAGAGATTCAATTTTCATTATTATTTTTGTGATTTATGGTCCCTTAAAAAAAAAAAGTGGTTGAACCGGTTTAACCCACCGGTTTACCGGTTGAACCGAAAAATTGACCGGTTCAATCCGGTTTGAAACAAGTCGATTGCATAACCGATCCAACTTAAGATTCGGACCGGCTGGACCACCGGTTTCTGGTCCAATCGATCCGACCAGCCGGGTCGGTCCGGGTTTTAAATCGCTGCTCTTTTTACAAAGATTAAGAAAGTTCATTAAATGCATTTAATTTTTATAATTTCATATAAAATATATATTATATTTCTTAAAATATCTTTAATCACATGATAGATAATGCTTCCATCTATGAGCATTCTGGTACTTTTGATTTAAGAGTAATAAATAAAGTTGACTTTAATGTAATTTGTTTATATTTTAGTCATTTTTAAAAAAAATTTGCTTATAAATATATCTAAAGGGGTCTGAGCAATTTTCCATAATAAAATTGGTTCTCACTTGTTAGATACAACATTATTTTGGTATTGAAAATGGAAAATAAAATGTTGATAGGCAAAACTCGCTATGCTACTATCTTGTTTAGAATTTAGCAACATTTACAATGCTAAAAATAAAAACTTAATAGATTTCTGGAGTTAATTATTTAAAATGTTTAATAATAAAAATATTTTTTAATTAAGACTAATAATATTTAAAATGTCTATTAAGAATATAAATAGAATACATCCTAATTAGAAGATAAAATGATATATATTAAAAAAAATGTCTATTTTTAAAGAGAGAATATTCACTTTAACAAATTTCTTCTATTAAATTATTTTTATATATGATTTTTTTTGATGAAAAATTATTGAGAGAAAATAAATGCAAAAGGACTAGGATAAGCTATCCTCTACAACTAAAATTTATGGTAAAAAAAAAAAAAGAAACATAAATTAAGAACATGACACATGTAGAATAGCATGCCAATCTCTTCGAACATTTGCCAAAGACATCCGGTTCGTGCTAATATATTCAAACAGTCCACTCTATTTATACAAGCGTAAAAAAAATATTATGCACCTTCGTGTACTTTTTAAAAAATGAAAAATAAACAATAAAAATAATTAAAATTAAATATTTGTAAATAATTAACTCTATAAAATCAGGTTGTAAAGTGAAGTAATTCTTTTTAAAGATCTAAGATAAGTGGTTCTTTTCAAGAATTTAAGATAAATTTGATATCATCTTATAATAGTGGATTTAAGCTTAATTCAACACTAACTCTGTTCATACGGTAATCTGAAGCTAGCTCGGTGGCCAATGAGTTCCAAACCACCACCCACAAATGATCATAAATCCAAAGCTACTGGTTCAAAGAAACCTGATCTCAGTGGTAACTCCAAAGGCTCTGGGAAAGGGTCTGGGTCCGGGTCTGGGTCTGGGTCTGGGAAAGGATCTGGTTCCAGTTCTGGGACTGGCAATAAGAAGAAATGATCTCATACAAACTTCTTTACATCATACCATGGTGATGGGTTATTTATAATCTTCACAGCACCCCCTTCATTTTGTCATGTCAGTTTCGCATTCTGTTTTACATGTAAATAATCTCTCTACTTTATAAGGGTGCACTAGTCTATAGGATAGTGGTTTAGTTGTTTCATTTGTTCCTATTTTAGTGTCATACAGTACGTGAGCTACTATTTTTCTGTTTCTGTAAGGCTTATATAAGTCAACCCTTATTTTTGAATAAAATACATTCTCTCAAACTTCACTTTGTGTATTATCTATTTTTGAGTTTCAACAATTGGTATCAGAGCTTCGCAAGGGGCCTGATCCAGAGAGTAAACGTGAATTCCAAAGAGTAAACGTGAGAACGAGTAGAGAGTGAGAAGCGTAAGACTAAAGAGTGGAAAGCATAGAACATCCCGTGAGTGTGAGTTGAGTGAAAAGGATGTCTATCTCAGAAAAGTTTGTGCAACCGGCCATTCCAAGGTTTGATGGTCACTATGATTTTTGGTGCATGATGATGGAGAACTTCTTACGCAACAAAGAACTGTGGCAGCTAGCTAGTAGAAGATGGCATACCAATGCTTGGAGCCACACCCACTGAGGCACAACGGAAGAGCGAGGCCAAACTAAAAGACTTGAAAGTGAAAAATTACTTGTTTCAATCCATTGATCGAGAGATTCTGGAAACTATGCTGGATAAAAAGCACGTCCTAAGCGATTTGGCAGTCCATGCAGAAAAAATACCAAGGATCAACAAGAGTCAAACGTGCCCAACTCCAAGCGTTGTGCTGTGAATTCGAGTTACTGGCCATGAAAGATGGCGAGAAGGTGGACAGCTACCTAGGACACACTCTCAGTATCGTCAACAAAATGAAATCAAACGGTGAAGTAATAGATTCAAGCACGGTGGTTAGCAAAATACTCAGATCCCTAACCGCAAAATTTAACTACGTAGTATGTTCCATCGAGGAATCTAACGATTTGAGCACCCTAAGTGTTGATGAACTCCATGGTAGCTTGCTCGTGCATGAGCAAAGGATGCAAAGTTTTCAACCAGATGAACAAGTACTGAAAGCCACCCATGATGACAGATCGGGAGCAAGTCAAGGTCACAGAAGAGGTGGTCGTGGCCGTGGGCGAGGATGCGGAAGACAGTCCCTAAATAGAGCACTCATCAAGTGCTTTTACTGCCACAAACTAGGTCATTTTCAATACGAGTGCCCTGAGTTGGAGAAGCAGGCCCACTTTGCCACATTTGAAGAAGCAGCAGAAGCAGAAGATGAATTTTTGCTAGTGGTGTATGAAGAAGCGACCCAAGCTGTCCAAATGGAAGACTGGTTCCTGGACTCCGGCTGCAGCAACCATATGACCGGAAATAAACTTTGGTTCACAGAAGTAAAAGAAGAAGGACTCGATAGAACTGTCAAACTTGGAAACGATACCACCATGGCTGTCACCGTAGAAGGAAACATCCGAGTCCAAATCAATGGCACAACTCATGTGATATCAGATGTTTACTATGTCTCTGAGCTTAAGACCAATCTCTTAAGTCTAGGACAACTCCAACAGAAAGGCTTAGCCATCCTAATTTAGAACGATGCGTGTAAGATTTTTCATCCAGATCAGGGCTTGATTTGATTCTTCACACCAACATGAAAGGAAATAGAATTATTCTATTTGTCTGCCTCAATGATTTCTCACTATCCCCAGTGCCTCCAAGTTGAAGACGTTTCAGAAAAAGAAACACGCTTGTGGCATAAACGCTTTGCACATCTCAACTTTAAGGGACTCAGCACACTCGCAAGCAACCAAATGGTGATCGGACTACCATCTCTGAAACTTCCCAAAGTGATCTGCACCACTTGCCTTGTTGGTAAACAACATAGAGATCCCATACCAAAGCACAGTTCATGGAGAGCATCAACAAAACTTCAACTGATCCATGCCATATTTGTGGCCCCATCTCACCTTCCTTCCACAGCAACAAAAGGTATATTCTAAGCTTCATTGATGACTACTCCTGTAAAGCTTGGATCTATTTCCTGAATGAAAAATCAGAAACACTCACTGTTTTCAAGAGCTTTAAGGCCTGTGTTGAAAAGGAAGCTGGTACCTACATTACCTATCTCAGAACAGATAGAGGTGGTGAGTTTACCTCTAAGGGGTTTGTAGATTTCTGTACTCAACAAGGTATCTCTAGACAAATGACTACTGCCTACACCCCTCAACAGAACGGAGTTGCTGAACGCAAGAACCGCACCATCATGAATGTAGTACGTGTTGTCTTACACGAAAGGCAAGTTCCAAAACCTTTCTAGCCGGAAGCAGTGCGATGGTGTGTACACGTTCAAAACAGGAGTCCGACCTCTGTTGTAGATCAACGAACCCCAGAAGAAATATGGAGTGGAGTGAAACCACGCGTTGATTACTTTTGAACGTTTGGCTGTATTGCACACGTGCACGTTCCAGATCAAAAGAGACATAAACTCGATGATAAAAGCCAACGTTGAATTCTCTTGGGAGTAAGTGATGAGTCTAAAGCCTACAAACTGTTTGACCCTAGAACAAAAAAGGTGATCGTGAGTAGGGATGTGGTATTTGAAGAAGATGAAAGTTGGAATTGGCATGAAAACACAGAGGACAGTAAACCTGATGCTCTTGATTGGGAAGATAAAGACGTTGCAGACAGTGACAGTGCAGAATCTGTCCAACATGAAATAACAGCTAGCTGTGATGATAATCCAACTGTACCTGAATCAGCATCCAACTCAGAACACAATGATGTTTTAGTTGAAGGGAGGGCTACAAGGACTCGAAGACAACTTATATGGATGACTGACTATGAAACTAATCTCTCGATGGAGGAAGACAACCTACTTGCAATGATGATGACCGATTATGAAGATCCCCACTCCTTTGAATAGGCATGTACAAGTCAAAAATGGCGAGAAGCAATGAATACATAAATGAAAGCAATTGAAAGAAGTGACACATGGGAACTTGTAGATCCTCTAGAAGGGGTTACACCCATTAGTGTTAAATGGATTTTCAAAACCAAACTAGATGAAAGTGGTCACGTAGAGAAGCACAAAGCCAGATTAGTGGCCAAAGGCTATGCTCAAAGGTATGGAATAGATTACACCGAAGTGTTTGCACCCGTTGCTAGACTGGACACGGTGAGAGTATTGTTAGCTCTAGTTGTTCAAGGTGCATGGGAAGTATTTCAACTTGATGTCAAAAGCGCTTTTTTACATGGTGAACTTCAAGAAGTGTTTGTCCAACAACCTGCAGGCTTTATCAAGAAGGGTAGTGAAAATCAAATATACCGACTCAAGAAAGCATTATATGGGCTTAAACAGGCCCCACGAGCTTGGTATAGCAAAATTGAAGCTTACTTTGCAAAAGAACAATTTGTACGATGCTCCAGTGAACACACCTTATTCACCAAAAGAATTCACGGTAATATTCTAATTGTTAGCCTCTACGTTGATGATTTAATTTTTACCGGAAATAGTAGGCACATGTGTGAAGAATTTAAAAGCTCAATGAAGATGGAATTTGACATGAATGATTTGGGAAAAATGAGACATTTTCTTGGAATAGAAGTCATTCAGAACGATGCAGGGATTTTCATATGTCACACCGATATGCTCGTGAGGTATTAGCTCGATTCAATATGACAGAAAGTAACTTTGTACGCAATCCCATTGTACCAGGAACAATACTATCCAGGGATGATCAAGGTGCTGCTATAGATGCTACAAAGTTCCAACAGGCAATCGGTAGTCTCATGTATTTAACAGTCACCCGGCCAGATTTGATGTTTGGTTTAGATTGACGCATTTTGAGGAGTAGAGTACTTCAAGCTTCTTCTTAAGTATGCTCAAGAGTCTTTCAAAGTTTAGGAAAAAAAGTTTTGCCTTTTTCCTTCAATCTCTTCTATTGTGCTATCACCTCTTGTCCTTTAAATTTTATTGTTGTTGTTTTGACAAATTTGAATCAAGCTCCTTTAATAAAAGCCATCAAATCTTCTTCCTCCTTTTTGAAGTTCAAAGTGTTAGAAAAGAATGGCACAATCCAAGAGGGGGGTGAATTGGATTTAATGACCCTTTAAAAATTTATCAGAGTTTTTGGATCTTAATTTCAATCAAAACTTTTCTATGACAGAATTTTCAAACGAAGCACTCTTAAAGACTTGTTACAATGATATGAATGCAATGTGCAACTTGATTACAAGACAATAAGGTTCAAATATAATATTCAACCACAGATTTAAACCATCAAAATTCACATGCAATTATTAATCAAGTTTTATCTTCTTTAAAGTTCCACCAATGAATTACACAATAAGAGATACGGTAGAAGAAGATTGCATAAGTCTTTTATACTGGTTCAGCCACTCCACATGTGACCTACATCCAGTCCTTTTTAATCACCACCTGATTAAGATGTGTTCCACTATCTTTAAGCAAGAAGGTTTACAAGCACACACACATGCATACACTTCACTACTAAAAGATAACCATTTTCTTGACCCTCAAGAAAGCACCCCTTGTAGAACCCACTACAAGAAACTTCACCACTTGAGAACCCCTTCTCAAGATTTTCCACAGAGATTCACAAAGAATTAAAATGGAACGAATTCACCTGGAATTCTTGAACAAATCTTTGTCTTCCTCTTTCAATAGTATGATGATGATGATGATTTCCTCACAAGCTTTTCACAAACGTTTTTCTCTTGGATTTCACAAAGAAAACTCTCCAAGATGTCACACCTCTCCAAGAAGTCACAAAGACTCTCTAAAACGTTTTTACAAGTTGATTATCAGTTCTTACTCAATGTTATGAAGTTTCAAAAAAGTTCAAACTATTTATAAAAACTTCAAACCCAGATAATCGATTATTTTAAAGAATAATCGATTATTTCAGAAACAACTCTCTGGAATAATCGATTATCCAGCTAAATAATCGATTAAATTGTTCTTGGTTGATTTCCAGAAATCTGAAGAGCAAAATAATCGATTATTTCAGAAACAACTCTCTGGAATAATCGATTATCCAGCTAAATAATCGATTAAATTGTTCTTGGTTGATTTCCAGAAATCTGAAGAGCAAAATAATCGATTATTTTGAGTCAGTTCTTAAAACTTCATTTTAAGTCTCAAAATAATTTTCCAATGTTTTTAACTCATCATCATCTACTCTCTACTTGA